GGCAAAACCCCCCCCCCCCCCACTTCTCCTGGACACCCCTCTGCCTGAGGGGAGGACAAGGGACCCCCAGGGCAGGGTGGGCAATGGGGATGCCAGGCTACTGTGGCACCCCGAGCCATGCTGGAGGGGAGATGGGGAGGAGACCTGGCCCTGCTCTGCCTGGGCTCGGCTACCCTAAATACGTGGCTGTAGGGCACGTTCCATGCTAGAGACAGAGCTAACCCTTTTGAAAACCTTTCCCGCAGACTGAAAGCAATGCAAAGTCCCCGTGGTGGTGGCACATCAGCCCTCCTGCAACCATGGTGGGCTCCTGGCTTTGCAGGCTCTGCCGTGCACCGGGGAGACCGCAGGGTCGATGCCCAGCAAACCCCAGCAGATCATTTGGGGTGCAGGTTTAGCACCCAGAAAGGCCCATTTGCAGCTGAAAATGCATGCAAAACCCAGTGCTTTTCAAAGCTTTATGGCAACTGTGACATTCCCACCGAGCATCCCCAGCCATGGTCCAATCTGCTGCTGCTGTCTGCCTCACATCCCTGCCGAAACAGCATCTTCCTTGCTAATGATAGAGAGATATGTTTATTCACCTGTGGTCTCTTCACGGCTGCAGGCAGGCATTTGTTTGACAGCTGCCATGCTCCTCTGGAGGTTTCCTGGCTGGCGACGCAGGATGTTGCTAGCCCCAGGGGTTGTTTAACGGAACATCTTCCATTTCACCTCAAATCAAGTCTGGGGCTCTGTTTCCCTTTCAATGCCTCTTTGTGAAACCAGACGGGATCTCTGGAAATCCTGCAGTCTGGAAAGGGACCAACAAGTGGGTTTTATTTAAGGAAGGATGTGTGGCTACATGGAGAAATTACAACCCAGGAAGTGTGAGAAGCTCTGCTGAGATCGGGTGGCTCGGGTCTCAGGAACACGGTGCAGCCAGGAGAGGCCAGGAGGTTTGGGGAAAGGGCATTTGGGGCCTTTCTCAGTCCTGGAGACAGCGTTTGCCAAGGCAGGAGCTCAGCCCAGGGAGGGCGAAGGATGCTTGTGGGGGCAAAAGGGGCCAGGCTGCGGCATGGTGGTGGCAGCTCCAACCTAGAGGGGACACGGCACCCCAGCACCTCCGGGACAGCCCGTGATGCACCCACCTTGTGCTCTTCCTCACCTTCCTCCTCCATCTCCTCTCCATGGCTGTGCCCAGAGCCTGGCTGCTTCACCAGGCAGAGAAAAAGCAGATATTTCTCCCCCAGGGAATATTTCCAGGCATTACAGACATTGGCAGGGTTTCCACCCTCTAGCAAGCCTGGTACCAAGTTGTCTGGGTCTGTAGAGCAAACCAAACCTCTGAAAAGCAACGCTGGATTTCAGAACATGATTTTATTGGCAAAAACCTCACTAGTCCCAGGCAAACGAGTCCCCAATAAAGACGGATGAGCCCCACTGCTTGCAAACCATCCCGTCCCTCTGGTGCAAAGCTCCTGGGAGAGCCGCAGAGCCCCTCCGAGCTGGCATGGCAAGGGTGATGGACCATCTTCCCCGGCACTGAGAGCAGCTGAAGCAACAGGCACAGGAGAAAGGGAAACATTTTGGAAATCAGGGGAGGATCTGAGTCATGAGACCATCGGGGGTCTCATGTAGAGAGCTGCGGGTTTTTGTCTGTCTCTGTATTTGCTTCTCCCACTCCCAGAATGGCTCCTGGGGGCTGTGTCTAGGCATCTTCCCATAAGGGAAACAATTTTGTAAACCAAGGAAGGAGGGGAAAATAACCAGCAGTAAATCCCTTCAGTGTTGGGGCCGCTTCAGTTTTCATTCCAGTGCCAAATGAAAAATGCCAGATGTTCTTTGTGAAATGACATTTGTGTTTCCTACCCAGTCCCGGGGTAGAAAAGGTGGAGAAACTCTCTTCCGTTTGCCTAAAACACTGACCAAACTGTGAAGAGAGCTTTGGGCAGGTGAGACACCGTGACAGGGATCCACGAGAGCCACCAGCACCCGAGCAGGCAGAGCCTTTCCCAACGGCCGTTCACACCACCCTCTGAGGATGCCAGACGCAGAACCTACAAAATCCTTTTTATTGTGTTGCTGGGACTGTAGCTGTGGAGCTGCACCACCACCACCATCCTCGAGGAGGTATTTCCCCCTGAACGCCGTCCTTGTCATGCTGTGAAGTCTTGGGTTGCCAGGTTGAAGACATTGCTCTCCATGGATGACTGCCACTTGCCCCAGTTCCTCTTGATCTCAGCCTGGACCTGAACCGACACCACGGACTGGTGCTGGCACCCAGGGGCACCCGCCAGCACCCGCTGCAGGGGCAGGAGCTGCACCTGGGGCTCAACAAGGGATTTGGGGTGCAAGAGGGTGGGGACCCCCATGCATGTCTGCATGCCCAGGTGTGCACACATGCATGGCTGTGTGCATGCAGTGCTCATTGGCGTGCATCCTTGGGGGTGTCTGCATGACCACGTGTGTGGCTGTGGTGCCCAGGGGATTGGTGTTGGGGGGGGACACTCACCTCCCCATTCAGGAAGCAGTAGAGCAGAGCCACCAGGAACCCCTGGAAAGGACAGACAGAGCAAAATTCACCTGAGGGCTGGACCCCTCCGTGTTCAGCTGCTGCCTGCGTGTAGCATCCTCCCACACCTCTTATCCCATCCCACAGGGGGTAGGTGTATGGGATCAGTGCAAGCTCACAAGACCACAACCCTTGTGCTTTGTCCCTGGTGTCTGAGGGGTGTCTGGGACATCGTCCTCTCCCAAAAGAGTGCAAAGCCCCAGCAGCACATCCCAGGGTCTCCTGGTGTGATCTTGGGATGGGACAGGATGGGTACATGGGGGTTTTGCCTACCCATCTCCCCTAGTCCGTACCTGGTAGGAGCCGAGGACCAGCTCAAAGTACAGCCGGGCATCTACACCGATGTGCTCAGGAAAGAGCGCAAACACCACGTAGTGCACCCCGAAGAGAGGGATGAGGAGCAGCGTGGACTTCGTCAGCCTCCTGCAGAGAGTGGTGGCATGAGCGGGGGCCTGGGTGCAGGCGATGGTCCTGATGCCCTGCAAGACAATCCCTTCCCAAGTGCTTGGTCTTAACCCAAAATAGGTTTTCCATGAAAGGCAGGCCTTGGAGGCTCCAAGGGTGGTCTTCCTCTGTGCTCTGCCAGGGAAGGATCCCTGCTGCCCTGGGTCCCCCCAGAAACTGGGGTGAGAGGAGCTCCCCCTTGCCCGAGCTAGCCCTTACATGTACTGCTGCTTGTAGTTTTTGCTGATGTCCGGGGACCGGATCTTCTGCGCTAACATCCTGGTGACATTGAGGAAGATGAGGAAGTTCACCTGCCACAGGAAACCGTGTCTCAGGCTCTGCGCAGACCGCTGGTTGGGTCCCCCTGTCCATATGGGACCCCCGGCTCTGGGGCCGGGATGCTCAGGGTACATACTCACAAATATGGCCAGGAGGATGGGAGCCTTGATCACCCACCAGTAGAGACTGGTGTAGTCATCCCAGCACCTATGGGAGAGGAGAAATGGCTCTGCCACCCACTTGCACCCTTTTAGCCCAGGTCTCACCCCGCCACCCCCCCTCCAGCCCCCTGCCCCATTTGCACAGCACCTCTTGCAACGGGGCACCGCTGTAGCATGGGCCCCCCCAGGAAATAGAAATAGCTTTAAAATAAAGTGCTGCCCCACTTATCTCCTCCTGAGCCTCCCGTGCAAGAGGTTCGTCCCCCACGACTTGCATGGGGGACATGTGGCCGAGCTGGCCTGGAGAAAGAAGAGGGGTGGCTGCTCTTACCCATGGTTGTCGTACTGCAGCCTGGTGACCACCCAGACGCAGACTGTCAGCATGGGGACGCCTGCAAGGACAGGACCCAGGCAGGGATGCGGAGTCTCCCCAGGGCTCTGGGGAGCCCCTGTACCTCCCCTCCATCCCTTGTCCCCAAAAACACATGTCTAGGTCAGGTCTGGGGCCCTGGAGGTGGCAGGAAGGTGACAGCCCTTCCCCCTTCTTCAGGTTTTAAGAGGAGATGGTGCCCACTGATGGTGATGTGCCTGTCTGTGTGTCACCTCCTGGCCACCCTTCTGCCCTCCTGTGTGTTCTTACATCTAACCTGGGCACCCGGGACAGGCATTTCCAGACCCAGATGGATGTGGGAAGAAGGAAGGACCTGCCTCTGTCCCATCCTGATGACGTTCAGGATGGGTCGGCGGCAGATGCTGCTGCAAAGGCTCTTTGGTGGGCGTTAGCAAGCATTTTCCCCTTTGAGTGATTTTGCACACATGCCACGAGGGCAAGGATCAGGCCATGCTGCCTGACCAGCTCCAGGGGCTGGCAGGAGCTGGTGGGTGCCCCACCAAGCACGAGGCCATGCAGAGAGATGCTGGGGTGGGGGGACATGCCAAGAGCAGCCATGGGGAGCATCGTGCCTGTGGACCTCTGGCCAGGTGGGTCTCAGAGCAGGCAATCCCCGAAAGCAATGCCTACCCCTGATCTGTGTCAATGGGACCTTGCTGAAGGGGTTGATGTGCTGGGAGGCTCCGTACTCACCCCAGCCGATGAGGATGTACCACCAGATGTACCTCTTGTCGGAAGTGAAGGTGAGCAGCAGCAGGGTCTGCAGGTACATGCCCTCCACCAGCAGCCAGTAGAGCCGATGAGGTGTACCACCAGATGTACCTCTTGTCGGAGGTGAAGGTGAGCAGCAGCAGGGTCTGCAGGTACATGCCCTCCACCAGCAGCCAGTAGAAGTTGGCCAGGACCGAGTACTGGAAGAAGGAGATGGCTGCTTTGCAGTTCACCTGCGAGGATGAGGAGGGGGAAGGCTCAGGAGTGCTGGCTGGCATCAGACCCTGTCCTTGGGGCACAGGGGATGGTCAGCCTCCCCGTCCATCCACTCGAGGAGACCTGTGATGGCCTTTCAGTGCGGCGCCAGGGATGCTGCACCGGCCCTGCATGTCACCTGTGGCATTTTCTGCTCTGCCTGTGCAACATGGGCAGATGACCACAGGCTGTTATTGTAGGACCTTTAGAAACCTGTGTCTGTGGTGTCCACAGTGTTGTATCTGGGCTGCACGCAGGGGTTTCTGTTTCTATTGACAACCCCAAATCTGCGCATCCAGCAGTGCAAGGTCTGTTTGCATGTACATGGTGCTGCTGGGGTTGCGCAGAGCTTTAGCCCCGCTGAGAGACTCTCTCTGAGACCAGGGAGAGCTTTGAGGGCAGAACACGTTCTCTGCAGACAGGGCCCATGCAGAGATGCTGTCGTGAACCTCCTGAAGTGCACCCAAGCCAGCCTTTCCTCCCCAGGTTCACAGCCTCTCTCTCTCTCCTCTTTGCTAAATCCACTGCAAATCCACCTAGACCCCTCCAGATCAGCTCATGGTGCCCTCTCCTGCACCATGCCCGGGTTGGGACTCGGCGCCTTACTGTTGACATCGTGCAGTGGTCGATGGACTCGTCTGAGAAGAGGACGGCATCCTTGATGAACACAGCGGCCCCGCGTAGTATGAAGGAGGTGAAGAAGTGGATGTGGATAGAGTTCCTGGTGCAATGCAGCTTCCTACGGGAGGAAGAGATGTGCTGTGCTCAGGGAGGAGCAGAGAGAGCAGATGGGCAGAGAAGCTTCTCCTCTGGGAGCCACTTCCCTGGCTGGCCCCCAGCCCAGGGGACCGTGTGCTGGCAGCGGTCAAGCACAAAGCCCATTATTTCCTGCTCTGAAATAATGAAGGACAGCGTTGTGCTGTGCTCAAGGTGGAGGTTTTCCTGCTCTGAAATCATGAAGGACAGCGTTGTGCTGTGCTCAAGGCTGCTGCCCAGGGATAAGGTCTGCTGGGGAACATCCTCCAGCCACCTCTGGAGAGCATAATTCTGCAGCATGGCGAGGTCTGCAAAAACAAAGCTTGAAAGGGCAACCTGAGAGTTTAAAGTCTGTCTGTCAGCAGGAGAGGACAATGCTGCAGTTCATCTCATGCCTCCCTGATTATCCGTGTTGGCAGGGATGGAGCCTGGCTGCTCTAGGAGGGGAGAGACTGAGAGCAGCCATCCCCTGCTGATGATTTACCCTGCTTTCCTCCAGCTGCAGCCCACGGAGCAGCCAGCGCCGAGCCCTACCTGAAGCAGGAGAAGATGCTGATGGCCAAGAACAGGGCTGCCAGGGACGTGGAGTAGCCGCAGGTGTAAAGAACCTTCATGGTGACAAAATAGCCTTTCTGGAAGGGAAAGCACCAGCGGAGTGAGGCAGCATGGGCTGGGAGGTGCTGGTCTGCGATGGACAGGGAGGAGGCAGGGTGATGCCTCAGCCCTTGCCCAGGCTAGGCTTGTGCCCAGCCAAGCTCAGATCCCTCCAGGCAGCCCAGCAACAAGGATGAGGCCAATGAGATATCCCCGAAAGCATCTTCGTGTTTCATTGCCCGATGGCATGGGTCAACGTGGAGTAGGGTGATGCTAGGGAGGGTGCCCCACGGCCCCCGGGGGACACACTTGCCTTGGCCTCGTTGTCGTTATTGCTGCCAATGGCCTCCAGCTCGCAGGCGTTGTAGTAGGGAGGGCTGGGGAAGCTCCATCCTGACTCGGTGCAGTTCCTCTGGATCAGCGCTGCAGCGACAAGAAGGGACCTCACGAGAGCCACAGGCATCACCTCTGCATCAGCACCCCCAAAATGTCCAGCCTGGGGATGGCACCTTGCTCTCCAGGACAGAGCCTAAATCCCAGCACCAGCATGCCGGCTGTGACAGCAGCATGGTACCCGAATGGCCTGGCTGCCCCATCCCTCCCATCCAGATCACACCTCTGCCCTCCGGTGCTGTGCCTGGAGGTGCCAGGACATCTTAGGGCAGGATGGGAAAGCAAGCATGAATCCCCAGGGTGGGAGGGAATTAAGGCTAAAACGGGGCTTTTTCATTCTGAGGGCTTCATCAAGCCTCTCCTGAGCTGTTTCTGCCCTAAAGCAAGCACTTACCAACCCTCCATCGCCTTTTCAATTACGCCCAGCCAAGGAAGTGCTCGGATGCTGGGGGGGCTTGTCGGGTGCTCTCCTTCACACTCCGCTGCCTCCAAGATGGATGGAGGCAGCGGCTCCCCCGACAGCGGCACCCACCCCGGGAGAGCGCCCGGCCTTGAAACAATCATGATCTTACGCTACGTTTTTCATCCATGTGGCTTGGAGTGGTACTGAGCATGTCAGGAGCATTAGGCTGGTGTGTGGATGGGCAAAGGAGGGCATCGAGCAGCTAGGGGACTGTCCTGGTGTCACCCAGTTGGAGGATGAGGTCCCCAAGTGCTCTACCCACAGGGGATGCTTGGTACTGGGTGATGAAAGAGTTTGGGGACTTTCCTGGCGTGGCAGCAGCCTGTATCTCTGCTTTTGCCTGTCCCCTGCTTGGATTGCAATATATGCCAAGCTTTTGGATGGGGCAGGAGCTGTGGGACCAGAGGGGAAGGGCAGGGGTGGCACAAGGATCCCAGGCAGGCAGGGGTGGGTGCAGCTCAGCCCTCGGTCCCAGGGGATGAGCGGTCTGGGCCGGATTCAGAGCACTGCACCTTTGGACTTCTTGAAGACGTGGAGGATGTCGGGGCAGGCAACGGCTCGGGACTGGCCGACGGGCACGGCTGACCAGCAGCTCACTCCATCCCACTCGGTCAGGCAGCCTGGGGAGGGACGGGATGGTTAGTGCCGCTGGGAAGGGACGTGCTGGGCGGACACACACAGCCCCCCGGTCCCCAGGCACAGCCCGCAGCAGGCACGGCCGCGCAGCTGTAACGGGAGAGTGGAGGGCGGCCAGCCGTCACCCGATCTACAGGGCCATGCCGTACCCCCTCAGGAATTAGGAGCATTCTGGCTCCAGTTCTGGGAACGACCTCCGCCAGCGCTGAGCTCTCCTTTTAGCCCTGCGGTGAGACGGGACTTGGTATTTCCTGGGCTGCATCAGACCCAGAGCTCCTGCAGGGAGACCCCGGGGGACGAGGGTGTGGGAAAGGCTGGGACTTTCCTGATGGCATCTAAAATAATGCAGGTTTATGCTGGATTTCTGCACCCAGCAGCCGCAGTGGCTCAGCTTGGGACGTCTCTCCAGCCCTGAAGAAGGAGGACAGGAGAAAGCACCGCAAGACTTGCTGGAGAGCAATTAGCTTAAACATGTTTTGCTTCTCTCTCTAGCACTGAGTTCGTCTCTAAATGACTCTCCAATTGCCTTGGAAACAAGCACGGCTGAGCAGACGTGGGGCCTTGAAGAGTTAGTGCTGCAGCACACCAGGATGAGACATAGACATCACACTTCCAGGACAGCTCTCCTCCTTGCACATGTACATTATTAACCTTGTAGATATACATTATTAACCTGGAGCCACATCTATTCCCAGCCAGGGAACGTGGACTCAGACAAGTCTAATTAGTTTTCTCTGATTTCAGCGAAGCGGTCTGTATGTATCTGGCCAGGCTTGGAGGGGTTTGCAGGGCTGTCACTACAATGTCAAGGTACGTCTTAGTTTTTGCTCTGGAGGACGGGTGAACTGAGCACAGCTACTGGGACCCGTGCTGAGAGCGGTTGCTTCATTTCTTGGGGTCTGAGCAAAATATCTGGATGTGTCTCTATGGCAGAGCTGTCCTGCTGTATAAATGTACCTCTTGCTGTATGGACAAGCTCTTCCAGCATGGTGAGTGCTGTGGGACCACCCGGCCGGGAGCCAGAGGAGCAGCCCATGGCACAGGGGTTGAGCTGGGATTCACGCAGCTCTGCGGTGCAATCCCAGGGAATAAAGTCATCCCTCCATTTGGATGGGGAGAAAAGGTTTAAGTCCCCCTTCCCGCTCTGTTTCCCTCTCCTGGGCTGCTGCAGCATCTAAAAAACCCCCATTTCTTAGAGCTGTGCAAAATTGGAACAACTCTCCCATGGAGAAGAGGTGATGGAGGCAAGTTTGGGGGGGACAGGGCAAAAAAACATGAGCAAAGGATCTGGCAGCGTGTGTCATTGCCCACCTCGCAGGCAGGAGCTGTGCCTTCAGTGTCCCCACACGGTTAGTCCCCAGGGGTCACCACATCCTCTCACTGTCCCCTGTCCCCGGGCTCCCAGCCGGTGTAGCCCGGCAGCGCGAGGTGTTTGGTTTGGATTGACCCAAAGCAACCTGCTTTATTCCAATTTTCCCAGTGGAGGGCTGAAACATCCCCGAGATCAACATTATCCTTGTGACGTTCTTGACATGGCCGAAAAGAGCATTTTTTCCATCAAAATGCAGTTTGATGGGAAGTTCCTGCTCAGCATTTCTGCTGGTTAATTATATGCAGACCTGCCAGGGCTGCCTCCCTATTTCTTGCTGCTCTGACTGGTATCTGGAGACCTCCAAAAGAGATCATTTGAGCCTCACCAGCAGGTTATTTCTTCCCAGCTATTTCAGAGCAGTAAATGCTGTGAGCACCGGAGCAGACTTTGAAGCGAAAGCTCTGCAAACACGATCTCTAATCAGTTTTAGGGCCCCACGGTGGGTTCCCCAGCAGGATGCTGAAGCCTGAGGTCCCTGTCCTGTTCCTTCACACTATATTGCCACCACGTCCAGGGCATGTGAGCCTTCCCCCCCCACATCGTCACTTCGTGCCATGTTCTCCGCAGGACCCTCCCCACGCTGGCACAAGCAAGCAAGGGGGAAGGGATAAATTCCGTTTCGGTGGGCAGCAGAGGTGGCAGTCAAGCAAGAAACCTGGGGTTAAATACTGATTTTAATTATGCATTCATGCTTCTTGGTTATTTTCCTACAGCGAGATTCCTTCCCTCTGTCTGGCACGATCTGGGCTGCAGAATGGACCTTTTCCAATCAACTTGGCTTTTCTCTGCTAAGCTGGATGATACGTTACATCTCTGCACAGTTACTTAAGCAATTATGCACCTTAACATGCATTTATTGAGATGCTTCATTTTCACATTTGTATTAGATGAAACCCATTGAATGACGCATTTCTTATTCACTAGGTGATAATTTTTACCCAGAATTTGAGCCAAGCTGCTTTTGGATGGAAATTGAAATGCAATTAAAAAAAAAAGTACAAAAGCAGCATTTTGAAACTGTTTTTCAATTAGTTAATTGGTTTAAAAGTCCTGGATATGTAAAAATTAAGTTTCCTAAAACATGTTTAGCATTAAAACTAACTGAATTAGGAAGGCAAGAAGGCATGAAGTGGTGACGTGCACCGTGTGACACTCATGCTGATGGCCAGGGCTCTGCACCACCCGTGCCCGCAGCCCTGCCTGGCCCCAGAGCATCGGTGCAGGGAGGGCAGGAGTGGGGCAGGAGGCTCTGCTTGGGGCATGGACCACGCCATCATTGCCATATGCCATAAATCTGGGGGGACTCAGCCCCTGCGGCTGTTTGCATCCCTCAGCCCACCCGTACCCCCTGGCTGCAATCTCAGCCCCCCTCTCTCCCTGCAGCAGAATCTTTCGGGGCTCTCCAGGGATGCTCCTTAGCCTTTGCCTCGGCGCTGCTCTCCGTTTTCCTGAAAATACCTGCTTTTCTGCATCCACGTGTGCTCTGCAATCCCCCTACCATGGATCATCCTCCAAAGACCCCCTTAGCAAATCCTCCCCCCCCTCCCGAGGGAGATGAGCCCCGTGCACGGCGGGCGGCTCGCACTCACCTTGCTGCCTGGGCGGTCCCGGGGGGGCTGGCGTTTGGCTTTCAGTCCTGATAATCTCCAGACATTCAGCTTCTTGCTCTTGGAAATAGAGGACGACGGAGCAGTCGGGATGTGTCGCTCGCACCTTGGGAGGGGGGAAAGGGCAGACAGTAGGATGCCGGGCATTAAGAGACCTGAGCAGGCAGGGTACCAGCCAATATTCACTATTTCTGCTGCAGCCAGCCCCAGGAGAGCCTGTCTACATAACCGTGCTTTTGGACCCTGACATTCCTTAGCTTTCTACTGTTTGCCTTGTAAACACCATAATGAACCACGACAATTATTTCTAATTCCCTCCAAAAGGATGTGATGCTTAAGGGCACCGCTTCGCCAAGACACAAGCGGCATGCAGAGGAGCTGAGCTTAAAGACGGAGGGGCCGACCCCATCAGCAGGGCAGAGGCGAGCACGTTCAAAGCCTGAGCAAGGAAACCATGTAATTAGAGATTCACACCTATTCAGACATGTCTAATCCTTCCTTTGCTGGCTGGGTTTTGCTCACGTGGGTTTTGCTCACGTTCAGGCTGGTGTATTTTAATCGGAGGCATCGGCAACAGCCGTCGGAGTTCACCCTTCTCCTGTTCCCCAGCTCTTTGGGGAGATGCTGCAAAATGGGCACGTTGACTTTCTTAAAGCTTTTGGGTTTGCTAGCAGAAGTGCTGAAACACCAAGGAGTACGCTCCGACCCCACAGCTCCCAAAACCACAAGGGATGTGGTGGCTCAGTGCCCTGGGATAGGGCTGCCCGGGAATCCCCGCTTTTGGGGTTTGTCCCCTTGGCTTCCAGCTGGAGAGCCGGGAGATTGAGGCTGAACTGAGAGCAGGCCATGAATTTTTCATGCCCATTCCCAAGCATCCATGCCCATTCCCATGCATCCATGCCCATGGGCGATGCGGTGGGGGCTGCAGCATCCAGATACAGGAGATATCTGGGGCAGGGTTTTTGGGTCAAGGTATGGGGTTGGGTTGCTGATGGTTTTAGGTGTGCAGACAGAGATAAAAGCCGGAAAAATAGTGGGGTGAGGGTGGGCAAATGGACCCAAGGACTGGAGGGAAGTGTAGGGCATTAAAGCATCGCTTGGTTGAGTCCTGTCCTTCCCTGCCCTGTCCTGGCCACCATGCAGCCACTCCTCTGGGGTCCCTTCAACTCCCCCAGGAGATTTCGTTTTCTTTTCCTGCTGAACACAAGACTTACAAGGAAATTCCCGGTCTGCAAAATGCGTTTTGGGGATGGTTGCTGGGCACAGCACCGAGAAAGCACACTACTTCATTGTAGCGATGAAGGACCTGCGCTGGGCAGAGGTGCCGCAGCCCCTTTTAGCTGCAAAGCTGCTGTTTTTTATTCTTGATGGCAACGCAGCCTGGCTGCTGGAGCACCAGAGCAGGTAACATGCAGTGCTCCCTTCAGAGCTTGCTTCAGGGCAGGCAACTCCTTGCTGTGCCTCAGTTTCCCCATCTGCAAAGGGGCCTGATGCCATCGCTCTTCTTATAAAGCCCTCAAAGCCTCCGGCACTCCCCCGGTCCTGCTTGCTTTCCCTGCTCTTTCCCTTTTCCCTCTCTTTTTTTCTTTCCCCCTTTTTCCTTTCCTTTCCTTTCCTTCCCTTCCCTTCGCTTTCCTTCCCTTCCCTTCCCTCCCCTTCCCTTCCCTTCGCTTTCCTTCCCTTCCCTTCGCTTTCCTTCCCTTCCCTTCCTTTCCCTTCCCTTCCCTCCCCTTCCCTTCCCTTCCTTTCCCTTCCCTTCCCCTCCCTTCCCTTCCCTCCCCTTCCCTTCCCTTCGCTTTCCTTCCCTTCCTTTCCCTTCCCTTCCCTCCCCTTCCCTTCCCTTCCCCTCCCTTCCCTTCCCTCCCCTTCCCTTCCCTTCGCTTTCCTTCCCTTCCTTTCCCTTCCCTTCCCCTCCCTTCCCTTCCCTTCCCTTCCTTTCCCTTCCCTTCCCCTCCCTTCCCTTCCCTTCCCTTCCCCTCTCCTCTCCTCTCCTTTCTGTTTTGTCCCTTTGTTTTCTTTTTTCCCTTTCTTTTTCCTTTCCTTTCCCCCCCTCCTTTCCCCCCCTTCCCTTTCTTTTCGTTTTCTTTTCCTTTCCGTTATTCAAAGCCTCCGTGTTAGCTAAAGAATTTGTGGAGCGAAGCAGCGCTGGGAGAAATCCCGAAGGCTTTGCAGAGAAACGCTGAGCTGAAACCTTCTCCCGCCGGAGCCCTCCACCCCCCGGCGTTTGCTGCCGAAACATTTTGACAAGTTCAGGATGGGTTTGCCGGCTCGGCTGCCAGGCTCACTGTGCATTGCTCTGGCAACACAGCCGCTCCGTGTCCCCCCAGTTCAGTGGGGGCTCGGTGCCAGCTGATACCCCACGGGTCTGCCCAGGCATGGGGAGCACCCCACGCATGGTCTTTGCCGCCTGCACCTTCCAGCCATCCCAACCTTCACGCCTGTGGATGCTCCCACAGGCCCTTGGGGTTTGGAGCTCCTTCGAGGCGCGTAGGACGATCTGAGCAAAGCCCCCACCAGGACCCGCGTGAGGATGGAGGGGACCGTCCCCGAGGCAGGGCAGAGTGGGTTCACCCTCCCTGGGGATGCCCTGGAGCAGCCCCTGGAGCTGAACCCCGCGGGAGCTTTGCCGGCTGCCCTGGCCGGACCCCGAGCGCTGTCCCAGCCCCGGGGAGTGCAGCAGGGTCCCAGCATCGCCCACCTCCCTCCCTGCCCATCCCTGCGCTGCATGTCAGCAAATCCTCCCCCAGAAGCTGCGATGAAAGCACCTGAGTGGGTGCAGTGGTGCCGGCAGCTCGCAGGGCTGCGGCTTGGCATCACCCCTGGGTCGGGCAGCACGAGGGATGGGGACAGGGATGGGGATGTGCTGGGGGACACCTGACCCCCTGACTGGGACTGCAGGCATGCCGCTCCTCAGGGGTGGCCAAACCCTGAAGTGGCTCTCACAGGCAGGGGACCACCGCGCTCACTGCCCACCCTCTCCCCCCCGTGGTCCCGTCCTCCGGGGGGACACTTACCCAAAGCATCGGGAGTGCAAGCAGCCGGACCAGCAGCATGCAGGTGCCGGGGGGCTGCCATGGGCCCCCCATAGCTGGAACCAACCCTGTGCTGCCCCGTCCACTGGTGTCCCAGCTCAGTCCCCGAGGGGCTGGGGACAGCCCAGCTCCTCCTGCATGGCCCTGCGGGTGGGGGGCCGCATCAGGACCCCAGCTCCAAGGGGCGACCCAGCACCCTCCTTCCCCTAACCCCGCTTCGCTGCTCCTTCCCAGCCCTGTCCTGCTTCTGGCTCCCTCCGGGACCCTTTCCCGCAGAGGGTGCTCAGTCCCACTCGGGTGGCCCTGACCCACTCCCTGTGCCCACCCGGTTCTGGCTGTCCCCCCCCACCTCGCTGCCCCTGCCCAGTGCCGATGGGCTCTGTCTCTCTGCGAGACTGAATGTCACAGCTCCTGGATCTGGTAATATGGCAGGCTCCACCCTCCGCTCCCCCTCCCCACCCAGAGGGCTGGATGCGAGGAGCAGCACGGGGGGACACCCCAGCCTGGCACTGCCCTGCCTGGCTACCGCCGGGCTCCCAGCACCCCCATACCTGCTCCCATCAGGGACCTGGGACCCCCCAGCTGGGCCCAGGGGGATGCGCGGGGCAGGCACGGAGCCCTCTCGCTGGCTCCTTGGATGCTGCTGAGCTGGATAACTGCTGGCTAAAGAGCACGGAGCCCTCTCGCTGGCTCCTTGGCTGCTGAGCTGGATAACTGCTGGCTAAAGGCTGTGGGAAGTGGGGGTGCAGCCAGGATGGGGTGCAGGGGACATGCCGAGGGTCACACTGCTCCCCGGCCGGCTCCACGCGGGACCTGGGACTAGAGGAAGGTAGAGAGCTCAAAGGAGGTGTCGTGATGGTGGGATTGTGCACACACACGTGTACAAACACATGCCCTGACACGTGTGTGCGTGCCTGGACACATGCATGCACACGGGGTGGGGGCAGCGACGCTCCTTCAAGCCCTGCCTGCACGGGAGGCTCTGCCGGCCCCAGCATGGCAGGCAGCGCTGCCCATCCCCATCCCCAGCTGCATCCTGCCTGCTCACCTCCTGCCTCTCCTTCTGGGACACCCCAGACCCCCTCTCCAAAATGCACCTTCTGCCCAGAAAGGCCCAGGATGGGCACCGGGTGTCTGGCAGGCAGCACGCAGCTCTGCAAAATAACCTTAACTCTGCCCCAACCGAGGTTTTTGGTCTCGGCTGAGCTCGTGATTTTGGTGGTTTGGTGCTACCAGGATGCCGGGTGCTGTAACCTCAGTACCAAACCAGAGCAGAGCAGAGGGGGTGCTGGTGCACCCCGGGAGCAGGAGCAACCCATGATGGACACACACCTCCCTGAGCACAATACACGCAGAAGAGCATCCCTCCCAGCCATGCCCAGGAGGGGGCTGCCATCGGGGCCAGCTATGGACTCCCAGACCCTCACCTGGGATCTCCTCCTTTTTTATATGTATATATATATACACACACATATAAAATATATATATATAATCCTCCATGCTAGAAAGCCCCAGCCCCTTTAGCAAGGGGAATTTTGACCCAAACCTCACCATTTGAATGCTTTTAGTGATGAAGCAGAGAGGGCAGGAGGGGCGAAGGAAGGAGGAGGAAACCCAGGAGCGCAGGGAAGGCAGCCGTGATAATCTCCTGGGATTAAAGATCCAGCCTTGCACCCCTGGACCACCCAAAATCCTCCTCACTGGAACAACTTCAGGTGTGGGCGACGGTGAAAGGAGGGACTGAAAATGGCCCCAAAGGCCCTTGCTGAAGGGTTAGAGGGCTGGGGGGGCTGCACTGCACTTTGAACTGGGGTGGGAGGAGGGTGAACCATTTATGTTGCTAATTTTAGTAATCCTACGTCATTACCATTTCTTAACGAGGCAGCAGACCACATTAGCTGCTCCTTCCATAACTTCTCATAATGAGATGCGAAGCCAATGAATGAACCGCTGCTGTTGCTCTGCCATTCAAAGACCTCAATAAGAATTGCTGTGTAAATTAAATACCCCTAAAAAAATACAAATAAAAGAACTGGGTCCTTAATATTTAAAAGCACTTGTTTGACATTATTAGGAGCGACCGACGCTGCTCTCGGAGGCGCAGACTGGCAAAGGCTGAGCCTGCGGTTATGTTGACACAAAAGGCTGTCGGGACCAGGCCAGACTCATTACCGTCTAATAGTTTCCACTGAAATGCAAACACCCAATCTTAATCATTTTATTTTCTGACAGCATATAAACACGCAGCGGGAAGGTGCCTTATCAGACGCTGCTAAAACCAAATAAAACAATACCTGGTGCAAATAACCCTGTGCCTGAGCCGGCTGCATCGCCCCACGGGCAGTGCAGGCAGCTCCGGCTGCCGCCGGCTGAGGTGGGGGGCAGAGGAACGGGGTGACGGGGGACACGGTCTGGTTTGGGGGTGGCGGTGGCCCCGAGCCACCCAACGTGTCCTCGCAAGGCTGGTTTATTTGGTGCCATCTGGTGGCAAATTGACCGGAGGGTCCCGTCCCCAGCTGGTCACTGGAGGGGAGCAGCCCAGTTTCAGAGGTGGCCGGGTCTGGTCCCCCCTGGTGGGAAAGGCCAGATGAGATTTGCAAAGCATTGCATCGCTGGAGGATGCGCGTTGCTCTTCCCTTCCCCAGCAAGCACCCCATGTGATGGGGGGTGCGATGGGGAGCAGTGGGGACCCCTCAGGCGATGCCCAACCTCCTCCGCCTTCCTGAACTGGTCCTGCCCTTCCTCCACTGAGGATGAGCTGGGACAGACAATGGTGGCTTGACCTCCTGCCTGGCGCTGGGTGACCTGGCCAGCCCTGCCAGCGTTAGGGCCATTGCTCTCTTACACAGCAGCAAGTGGAAAATCAATGAGGTCAAACTCTCTGCATTGCAAATCCTGGCCAACCTGAGACCCTCCAGCCCCCTCCGGGCTCCCCGCCTGGACCAGCATATGGGCATGCAATGGTGACAGTGATGGGGACGGCGGTGGATGACTGGAGGGGACAGGACGGGAGGATTTGCCTCAGGCACATCGCTTTGGTGTGGCAGCACGGGCATGCACGGCCGTGGGTGGTGGGGAACAGTGACCGTGGGGCTCCGTGTCTGTGCCAAAGCCCCGGGGAAGATCCCCGGAGGCTGCCCTCCAGCCACGGGCGCTCCCATTAATCCCACACCAACGCTGGGATTGCTGCTGGTGTGTATCAGTAATTGCAAATGACTCAGCCATTTCCAAAGCAAATGAAGTCACTCGCAGTAATCTTTTTGCAAGTGGCAAATGCTCTTTTACAAGGGCTGGAAATTACTAATTGTGTTACCTCCATCCCACCTTACAGCAAAGAAGCGGGGTGTCCCCAGCCCTCGCCAACAACCTCTTGCTTAATTTTAGGCTCTGTGGAAGGAAACAGTCTGTGAAGGGCGATTCAGAGTAAGAGGAGACCACGGTGGCTGGATGATGGCTCGGGGAAGGTGGAGCTCAAAGCACCAGCAGTGTGAGACCTCCTGGAAGGGGAAAGTTGTTATTTTTTTGTAATTAGCTTTCAAAATGACATGCTTTCACCCATTCGGGCTCCTGGACCCACAGAGCATCCCCGAGAGGTGTGTGCCCGAGTGGCTGTGTGTGACAGCATGATGCAGAGTACAGGGGACAGTGGCTGCCAAGCTGCCACTCCGTATCTGGGGTTTGACTACATGTGCAATGACAAACTAGTTTTTGGACTGTTTTTTTATACCCCTTAGGAGCCAGCAGTGATTATGGGGGGATGTATTGCCTCAGTGGTGCTTACTTCATCTTCCACGAGTCTTAGGCAAGGTTGCTGCCTCCTGCCTGTGTTTCCTCATTTTGGGAATCCCTCCGGCTCCAACTTGTCTCCAGGGAAGGGGGATGGCACAAGGGATGTGCCATCACCTCGCTGTCCTCCCCCAGTTATTGGAGGGCAGCTCAGTGAGTCATTGCTGCCAGGCCATACCAGAGCACAGCTCATCCGGGCTTGATGCATCACCGTCCCGGTGTTCCCGGTCTGACGGACGGCCATCATGCCCCAGGTGCGCCTGCTCTGCTGCTCGGCTAATTTGCCAAAGCTTGTTGATGCCAAGCTTTCAATGCTTGCATTGCAAGCAGAGACCCGTGCAGAGAGAGCATCGCGTGCCTCCGAGGGGCTGGATCACGTTGTTCCTGCTCCAGATGCCTGGTGCAGCATCACCCCCTGCTCCCAGCTTGCGCTGTGGCATCTGCTTGCACCTACATGGTACAGATGTTGGGTTCATGTCCAAGGTGGTGGCAGAGGGTGCTGGCTTGCGCTGTGGCGTCTGCTTGCACCTACATGGTACAGATGTTCATGTCCAAGGTGGTGGCAGAGGGTGCCTGTCCCTCCTGGTCCCCAGGGGATTGACCCTGTTTCAGAACCACTGCCTTGGTCCTGACCATGGCCCAAAGCAAAGCTTCTGGTGGAGCCCATGCTCTGCCTAACCAGAGGATGGGGCTGAGTTCCAGGCCTTGGGTTTGATTTAGGGTGCGGATTTAGGTGAGGGTTTCCAGAACAAGAAATCCCAGACTTAAAGTAAGAGAGAGGCTCAACAGCTTCCAAAGTGAGGGCTGCTAGTAAAATTATCTGCTGAGCATCCTCAGGGTGTCTCTTGGCACACATCTCGGTCTAGGGGTTGGGTTTGGCAAGGTGGCTCTTACTGGGGACAGCAGGGTCCATCCCCACCAGAACTTCATAATCCTCTGATCCCTCCTGAGCCCTGGTTTTCTATGATGCACATGTGGATGGCTTGTGTGCCATCACCAAGCATGCCAAGATGGGGAGCATAAACTGGTCCTGGGCTGTCACCTCCCCCCAGTGCAGGTGAGTTGGCTGATGGGGGTCCTCACCCCACCTCCTTGGTGAGAAGAGGTGGTATCTCCAACCGGAGGGTCATTTCTACCTGTGAAAGGTGTCTCTGGGCAGTTTCCTGGGGACAGCACAGCCGCAGCTGCCTTTCTCTGTCCCCATCCCACGTGCCTCGACACTTGCATTTCTTTGCACCCAGACCGTGCTTTCCCGGCCAGCGCTTCTGATGCCACTCGACATCCATCCATCACCTGGCAGTCGATCCTCCCGCTCACCCACACAGCCATGAGTGCTCCTGCCCGAGGGGGCCTGGGCAGGGACTGCCCCCGCGCTGATACCTGCAGCCCTAGTTCAATGGCGCTGTGATTTAAAGAAGATGGAGAGCCAGGCTGACATGCACAGATGGGTGCACGATGCCTGTGTCTCCGGCTCCCTCTCTCCCCCTGATGCTCAAACCTTCCCTCTGTGTGACAGACGTGCTGGGGAACTTAAAAAGGGACATGCCACGGCGACAGGCTGCAGCCGAGCACAGCCCTGCCCGTAGCTGTGCCCCCAGCCTGTGCCCCGTCCTGCAACGCTGCACGAGATGCATCGGAGCCGTGGGTTGCACTGGAGGGCAGCTAAGAACACCCCCAAAGGGGCTCAGGCTGCCACCGGGGGGAGGCCTGAGGATGTTCAGAGCAGGTCTCCTGTCTCCCCTTGTTGTCCCACTGCTGGCAGAAGGTTTTCTTATGCTGCTCAGCCCTTCGCCCTGGTGCTTGAATCCTTCTTACAGACAAGAACAATATTAGTACCAGCGAGACGGATACCCAGGCTCTGTTCAGAGCAAGGCAGGCTCTGCCAGAAGCAGGGGGTAATCAGCACAGTAATTAAATGTGCAAATAATGGGAATTTGGGAGTTATAACAAAAGGCAGAGAAATAATCCGGAGGGGCTTGGAGAAATTAGGAACACAGAGCAAAATCTAATCAAGCAGAAAATAGCCCGACTGGAGCCAACAGAGGAGGGCTAAGGCAGCCGGCCTCGGAGCACCCCTCCCCTGGCATCTGGGGGTGTCTCCAGTGCCATTTTGGGGCAGAACAAGAGTTTTTGGAGAGATCTGTTCCCGCTTGGTGAACAGGGCTGGCTGCAGGCTGGGTTACTGGGAAAAGTTCCCAGATCTGCGCTATCGGTGGACAGCGGATTTTGGATGTAATATTGATGGAAATAATCACCCAGAAGAGCAGTCTGGGGAAATACAGCTGATGGAGGTAGAGGAAAGATACCTGAGGCCAGTGGGAAGTTGGGCTGTTTTGGGGGAGAAAGCGGTTCTTCATTGCAATGGGTTTGCTGGGGCTTAAATATTTTGTACAGACATACCGTTCCCAGCCGCAGTGTTTCCCTGGGATGAGCTCGGACACGCAGAGCTCTCTGGCCAGGGGGAGATAAACAGAAAATGTGAGCTGGTTTTAGTTTGCTGGACTCAAATCCCCTTGTGAGCATCCTGGGAGGGACTCGTGGTAGGGGAGAGCGGCAGGCAGCCTGGGCTCTGGTGCAATCGATTCGTGCTCATGCTAAGCCTTGCCTGGGTTTCCATGGGGGGATGCGGTGGCCGGTCACTGCATCCCTGGGGAAGTGGCCCACGAGGCTGGGAGCCAGACCCAGGGGACCCGGCGCTGTGCCACAGGCACCCTGGGGACCAGACCTCGGGTGGCACCGGCAGGGCTGAGCGACATCCCCAGCCACTGTGCCTTGGTCGTGTCTGTGGGGATGTTGTCTCTGAGGACCTGCAAGAGGACATCCCATGGGATGGAAAGACCTTCTCCCTCCACCGACAGAGACCCCAAACCTGTGGTGCACAGGCAGAAATGCCTCCATCCGATGGCAGGCACCGCAGAGCCTTGTAGATACAGTCCCAGCCTGACATCCAAAGCTATCCCAGACTCTCACCCAGACCCATCTCCCAACGCTCCCTGAAAAGGCACCTCACCAGGTTTGCTCCGACATCCCGGAGCACCCCCCAGGCGCAGGTGACATGGCTCAGCCCCGCAGGGACGCGCTGCAGCCGCCTCCCGGCCTCTCCGGGTGCTTTCTGCCAGCTCTTGAAAGGACCTTTCAGTAAGTCCCAATCAAAGAGGCGGTGTGGCGAGGAGTGAGCCGCTCCGATGGGAAAGCACATCCCACCAGCCCCCACCCCATCCTTGTTTTCCCATTTCTCTGCCTTCCGCCCCGGGGACGTGAGCTGGCAGTGGGCTCGAAGCCAACGCAAGGCAATGGCCCTTAAGCTGGAAAGAAAAGGCTGTTAAAGACGGGATCGCCTCTGGCTTGGGATGTCCCAGAGCCCCAGATTGCCAAAGCTCAGGAGAAGGTAGCAGGCAGCTGTCACTGCAGGTTTTCCCTCTTATCCCTTGGCTGAACGACCTTTGCTCTGTCCCGGGGTGGCTGTGTTTTGGGCTCAGTGTCCCCAAATATCTCCCAGCTCAGAAATGCAGCCCCTGAGACTGGGAAACAGAGGTACAAAAAGCACAAGCCACAGGGCAGGAGCAGACCCATCTCCCACTGGCTGCGAAGGATGGGACCTGTGGAGACCACAGGGTGCCAGGACCTGGGCTTTTAGGAAAGCTCCCAAAGCCACAAGCTGTGAGATGCCAGTGGGGCTGAGCAGCCCCAGCGCTGGGACCAGGTCTCTCCTGCCACTGGGACCAGCAGCAGGGCTCGGAAAAACCTGCAGCCCCCTGCTCCCAGCTCGCTTCCCTGCAGGGAAGGTTGTCCTGCAGGCTCAGAAATGCCATCGGGGTTGCACAAGCTATCCCTGCCCCACAGCCTTTTGCAGTGGAGGGGTTATCCTGGGGATGCACGGCAGGGAAGACCAGCTCAGGGACGTTCCTCTGCTGGCCAAACCTCCGGGGAGGGTTTGTTTAGCCCCAGCAGCTATAGCAACGAGCCCTGCTGCCTGAAGCAGCTCTGCTCGCCCCATCGCCTGCGTGCCTGCCCGAGCCATGGAGGTGGGGGCAGCGGGGGACCCCCATGGGGTCTGGGGGGACACCCCAGCAGAGACATATGTCATCCCGCACGGGGTAAGCCCTGGAGAGCAGCTCTGTCTCTGGATTTATGAGATAATCAGGGCTCACAGGGGTAGGGTGGGGAAAATGGGATGGTGTGGGAGGAGAGAAGGGATGAGGTCAGGGTTTCGGGTGGGCACTGGGGTCTGGGGCAGCAAAGCTGCTCTTCACAAAACGCCTCCCTGCTCCCTGCAGACCCCGGGGCCCCAGGAAAGGACACTTCTGCACGGGGACATGTCCCCTGGGGTTGGGACTTGCCAGGTGTGCAATTCATCCAGGCTTGCAGCGCTGCACCCCTGGAAAGAGGGGGGGTCAGTGCAAGCCACCCCTTCCTCTGAGGCTCTCATGCCTGCTCCCCCCGGGGCCAGCGTGGCTCTCCTCCCTGCCACCAGCTCCTCTCCCCTCTCCTCCCTGGCTGCAGCACTAACAGGGCACTAAATTAAAGCAAGAGTGGGAGATCCCTGGGGTTTTCCTTCCCCTTCTGCCTTTCAGCTCCAACCTGGGAGATCTGGTGGGGCCATGCCGGTGCCCCAGCAGCCAGTGATGATCCTCCAGCAGTTTCCCAGGACCGTGGCTGCCCTGGCTCCCCCCGCCGGACCCCCGCACATCCGGGGAGGTGCGTGATGGTAGACGTCGTAGAGGTCAGCGTTAAAACCAGCTTAACCTCATCCTCTTCTTTTTTTTCCAGCCTTTTCAGTATGAGAGGCAGGCAGGGGGGCTGCACCCCCCCTCCGCAGCCTCACAGGGCTGGCCGCACCATGCTTTGATGGCTGCTTTGCCCCATGCGATGCAATTTTCGGCGGTTTTACCAACCTTGAAGCCTGGGCTGGCTTTGGCCACACCAGGATGCTCCCGGGGAATGGTTTTGGGGTGTTTTTTGAAACCCACCTCTCTTTGTTCTCCAAAACCCCATCTCATGTGGGTGTAGGCAGCATCACCAGGGAAAGCCAGGGTGATATGGGCTCCTTGGCCATGCTAGGGGGGACTGGAGGGAGACACATGCCAGCCCCAGAGCCCGTGGGATGCAGCAAGCAGGAGCAAAGGCCAACTGTCTATAGGGGCTTCATCCAACCTTGTGCAACCCAGGATCCAGCAATTTGGGCTGGGGGAGCAGACAGCAGAGGTGTGCGTGTGGGGGCTTGTAGTCCCTGGGACATGCCGTGGGTGAAGCCGTGCAGCCTTGCAGGGATGGGGGAAGGTTGAGCTGTCTTTAAAAGTACACGGAGGAAAGGGCATGCCCAAAATTGGCGTGGGAAGAAAATGGAGACCCCAGCCTGGCCCCTCGCAGCCCTGCGGTGGGGGCTGGCTGCCTTTCCAGTGGGACGGGTGGGATCCATTAAGAGCCGCCAGCCCCTTCTCCTCCCGGTTCAATGCCTGGCTGCTGGCCCACTCCTTCCTCACAGCTCCAGCTCCGGCCACCCCCCCGAGTTGTTCTGTAATGCTCCTCGCTGGAGGGTCAGCTGCCTCATGGGTGCCCTGGGAGCCCGTCCCTGCAGCTGTGAAAGCATTTTGGGATCTGGAATGTGGGACAGGGGGATGCCCAAACCCCTTTTTACCCATGGCTCCGGCTAACGGGGACTCACGGGTCTCATGCACAAAGCCAGCGGGATCTCGGAGGCAGCCCCTCCAGCAGGTTTACAGGCATTTTGCAGGGGAACTTCACGCCTGCAGCAAATGGGGATGTTTTAATGGGGATGCAGAGCCAGATGCCGTGCTTCCCCTGCAGCCTGATTGCCGTCAGCAGCTGTACTGCAGCTTGGGCATCCAGCCAAGGGGACTGGGACGCTAACCTGTATGTGCACGGCCGCTCCAGGTCCCAGCTCCTCATGCAGAGCCAGGCAGGGGCTGGGGAGGCACCGAGCATCCCCAGCCTGCTCCTCTCCTGGACCCAGCTCCGTAGGTGCTTGCTCCTGGGCATGGAGATGGGATCAGCCCCCACGGTCCAGCCCCAGCTCCTGCCTCCTTGGGGGGGTTTCTGAGCTTCCCCGTGCATGACGTGGTGCAAAATGGAGCTGACCCTGGCGTGCTCCCCATGCGGTGCCACCCCCAGGACACCGGCTCTGCCGCCTGGTGCCAAGGCAGAGGCTTGCCAAGCCACTGAGTGCTGCCAGGACCAGAGCAATTCTCCTCCGAATGGGCGGAAAGTCTGATGCCTCCAGCACCACTAATCACCTTTTGTGAGCAGCCTTCAGCAAGCCAGACCAGATGTTTAATCACATTTGCAAATAAGAAGAGGCTGAAATATGGCTATTTTAAAGCTTTATCCAAGCAAAATAATTTTTAAGTGCCACATGGGCCTTCCAAATCGGGCTGGGGGGAGTTTGGCTTAGCTCTCACTGCTGGGGCACAGGGACAAGCCTTGGTGCCGCCCCATCCCCGGCACTCCTCCCATGGCCATGTTTCTCGTGCCCTTGCTCTGATCTTTCTCTGACGCAGAGCCCCTTACTCTCCGGCAGATTTAATCGAGTTGATGATGATTCAAAACTCCCAAATGCACCAGGTGGTGATGAACAGCCTGGCTGTGTCGGCCCTGACGTCCTTCGGGTTCGGGCCATCCCCAGCTGCTGCCCAGGTAAGGGTCAGGGATGCTGGATGGGCAAAGGGACCATAAGACCAAAGATGACCAAAAGGACCAAAGAGGTGGGCAAAGGGACCTTTCCAGAGCTGCTCGGGAAAGCAGAATGCCTGTGTCCCGCTTTGGCACAGCGTGGGACCCCTCCAGGTGCAGAAGCTGGGTCATCTCAGCCTGTCTCAGTCCAGGCTCTGCAGCCCTTTGGGGTTTTGGAGCTCTTTGTGCTGGTTTGACCCCCAGGTCTGCCAGCACAGATCACATCCAGGCTGCTCAGAGGCGATTTAGCCCAGCTGGGAAGAGCCAGGACCCTCCCCGCGTGCTGCGGCATGGGCAGGGTGCAGCGCTGGGCTGCAGCAGCCGAGCAGCAAGGCTGAGCACTATTCATTAGGCAGGATGGCTCTGCAAGGGCTTTCATTTAAAAGTCCATCTCGAACCAAAATCACATTAAACATTTCATCTCCATGGGGAGAAACAAATGCTGCTTTCTCGGCGGGGGCGAGAGCCGGGCTGCGGGCAGCTGCCTGGCTCACTGCCAGCTGGCATCTCTAGGCACGCGCCCTCCCGTGCTGCCCACCCAGCGCCCACCAGTTCACCACGCTGGCCAAGACCGGCCCCTGCCTGTCGCATGTCAGCGGCTGGATCAAACGGGCTCTTCCCAGCAGTGTTTTGAGGTCCCATCTGTGGGGCTGCCACCTCCCCGTGTCCCCAGCAGCCGAGTTCCCACGCTGGCCGACCGCGGGGCTTTGTGTGGGATCGAGCCCACCCAGCCAGACCCTGGGAGAGCTGTGCCGTGCCGGCGGCATCGCAGCTAAGCACGGCTCCGTGGGAACTCTCTCGCCGGTGCTTTGGGGAGCAGTGCCCCAGGGTGATGGCTGCCGAAAGGGGCCCGGCACAGCCCTGCCTTTTGTTCCTCCCCGCAGGCGATGGCGGTGCCTTTGCAGACCGGAGAGGAAGAGGAGGCTGTGGTTTTCCACCATCACTACATCCCCTACCCCGGTCCTGCTCCTGTCCTGGCATGGCCATTCCTGGAGTGGGATCGGGGGCCGGCGGCCATGCGGTACCTGGGCACAGGCTCATTAGCCGAGGATGGGGAGGTGTGAGTAACGAGGGCGCTGCTTTGTGCCACCCGACGTGGGGCTGCGTGCGTGTCCCTGTGGCCCCTGGTGTAACAGGACTTCCAGCCTAAGCTGGGACACAAGATGCAACACTAGGCCGGTGCTTACTCCTGTCCTTGCTCCTCTCCCGCAGTGCGGTGCCCCCCCCTCCACCCCCCAGCACCACAGAGACCGTGGGACCCAACGTCCCACCAGCGTCGGGTAAGGACACGTTCTCCCCATGTCCCTCAACGAGGGACGTCTTGCCCTCAGGCGTGCATCAACCGGGCACCCCTCGGTCAAAGGCTGAGCCCTCCCTGTTCCCTCCGCCCATTGGATCCTGGGGGTTGCCCTTGCACATCCTCCAGGTCCCCTTTTCTCTCCGCAGAATACTACGACGTGGTGGAGGAGAGGCTGTGAGCTCCATGCGTCCCAAGATGATTTCTCCTGCACGTCCCAGCCCTCAACCCCAGAAAATCCTGCAGGTGCTGAGCATGGGTGCTCCATGATACCCATAGTTTCGGGGTGGCTCGCGGGGAGGAAGCGAACGTGCCCCAATGCAGGGGGGTGTCACAAAGCCTGGCACCAGACCCCAGGTGACAGCGGGACCCCAAACAAGGACAGGCTTTATCTCCATGCTCTGCAGAGGGTTCATCCCTCAGCAGGTTAGGTGTGACATCCTAATCCTGGCTGGAGAACGTGTCTCTGCCGAGCCACGAGGACTCTGCGGCACGAGCTGTGCTGTGTCCCCGTGGGTGGGGGGCGTGGGTGATGCCAGCCCAGGTGGTCCTGGTCTTCATGAGTCCCTTCAGATCTAATGCAGCACATTGCCTGTAATTAATTTGCTTTGTTAAGAAAGTGTCCTGCTGTCACTAATTAAGCATCTGTAATTACCCAGACTGCTGGCTTCGTGCCTGAGCACAGGGCTCCCTCCAAACTGGGGGGGCGTGAACCTTTTGCACCCGGGGGGGGGGAGGTATATCAGTGCCTGATGCGGGTGCTGGGGCAATATAGGGAGTTGCTGATGGTTGGTGCTGGGCTGGGAAGCAGAGTGGGATGCTGCTGGCTGAGCACAGCATGGGGAGAGCTGGATGTGGCCTGCAGCTTGTTCCTGGTGGGGATGCGGTCAGGGCAGCAGTCTGATAAAGGGGATGCAGCACGGGGTTCCCTAGGACTCAGCGTCCCCTCTGCTCACCAGGAAAAAAGGGGCAGATGCATTTTTGGGTGCTGGAAGCTGTCCCCTGCCTCTGCTACCTCCCCAACCCCACTTGGGGGGTGACAGCTCTGATCCCAGTGGGGTTACATGCCAGTTATCAGGAGGCTTTGCCTTATGAGCAGAGCTCCTGACAGGGGACTTCAGGGCTGGTGGTCATCTGGAGCTCAGAGCATGCAGAAAGATGGTGCCCAGGCAGTTGCACCTTAAATCCCCTCCTTCTGCCCCCATCGGGCACGAGGACTGCTGTGTCTTTCTTCTGAGATCCCTATGGAAAGGAGAGCTCATCCTCCCCGAGCTGTGCTCTGGCACAGGCAGATCTTCCCCTGCAGCAAAGCTCAGCCTGGCTCCTGCTGAAGCTGGAGAAGAAGCTCCTCAACGTGGAGCAAAAGAGCCACATTGGGTTGCGGCGTGAAGGCACATCTCCAGCTGGGAGCTCCCCAAGAGGCTGCAAGAGTGGCCAGGCAGAGCAGCAAGAGCAGAAGTGAAGGAGACCATCCAAAAGCTGAGCTGAGTTTGATGGGAAGCCAGGCTGGTGCACAGAGGTTTCCGTATCCGTATAGACAGAAAGGGAAGAAGGAGGAGAGGAGTCACCTGGGGATGGGGTGGACAGGAAGGGTGGGCTCAAGATATGGCTCAATCTTAGCTTGAATATGAGCGGAATGGGAGGATGAAGCAATGGGGATTGCAACACCCATGGTGGAAGCAACCCTTGGAGCCCTCTCTGGGTCACACTGGTTGAACCAGGGTACCCTTCAGCTGGCAGCATGGAGATCATTGCACAGCTAGGAGCCCAAAGGCATCTGCTTGCACCCACATTGGCAGGGACAGGGAGGAGGTGTGGATGGAAAGAGCAGCCACGGGCACGGAAGGGAACAGAGCAAGGGAGATGCAGAGTGGTTTTGCTGAAGGTAGGCTGTGTCAGATGAGGGGCAGGGCTGCTGGGTTTGAGCCAGGTGATGTGATGCCTCTCCCCAGCACGGTATAATGGGACTGTTTGCCCCAGAGCCCTGGTGGGGTTGTTATAGGAAGGTATGAGCAGAGCTCTCTGCTCGCAGGCTCCTGCCCCAAGGGTCAGAGACAAACCGATGGGTCTGGGCAGCAGCATGTGGATGTCCCTGGCAGGGCTTGGGACGCGGAACAGCCGGGCTGGGAGAAGCTGCTGGTGGCTGAGACCAGGCCAGAGTTACCTCTGCAATGACAAGCACTTGCTTTTTAAAAGCAAGGCCAGAGCTGGCCTGGATCCTGTGTGCCGAGTGCGAAAGCAACAGAGCAAGAGGAGAAGCTAATTACAGCCCTCTGCATGCTAATGGCACCTATGTAAACACCTAATGCAATGCAGCCCCTGGCTGCCAACTGGGGCGAGGGCTGGCATCTCCTTCGGCCCAGGGGTGGGAGCATGGGGGTGGCAGGGCTCAGGCCCCTGTGGCATTGCTTGGACCTCGGTGACAGATGCTGGGCTTTGGGAGAGGAAGGGCAGAGGGGCTCCTGAAGCCCAGATTGGAGGGGAGCAGAGAGACGGGGAGCACTGGCACCACGTGCCTGCTGCAGACCCAGGCAGGGAGCAGCAAGGAGATATTTTCCAATAATCTGATACTCTGCGGGGTGAGGTTTGGGGATTAGCCACGATGCCAACAGGGATCTGCGACAAGCCTTGCCAGGGTGATGGGCATGGACCAGAACCAGCTCCCGCTGTCCCTACCAGCTGAGATCCCCCTTTCCTGGGGTTGGGGTCCCTGTGGCCAGGAGAGGTGCCCAGAGCATGGACCCTTTTGCGGGCAACAGATCTGATCGCATCAAGTCAGAGGCACTGTAATGGCTTTTAACAGCCCATGAGGGCATTTATCAGCAGTGACAGCTTGGGTGACCCAGGGTTCCTGGTGTTGACTCACTACCACTCTCCACCCTCAGTCGGATAGCCTGCCTCCCGCCTCAGCCAGTCCATCCTCAAGCCTCTGTACAGGGTGAGATACACACAGCAGCTTCCCCTGGACCAACCCCAAACACCCACGCGCTGATACACCTGATTCACCTGCCACTCTCCTTGGCATCCCCTGCTCCACTCACCCTGCTCCCGGGGACGCGGGCTGAACTCCCCAGCATCCTCCCACCAGGGCAGCATGATGGAGGTGGTCCTGTTCCACGGGCTGCTGCTCTTCCTCCCCTTGGCAGCCCTGCTGCTTTACCGGTACAATGCCACCTTCCGCTACTTCTGCAAGATGGCCTTCTTCAACTGCTGGATCGTGGCCATGGCCACCCTCCTGTCCCCCTTTGCGGCTTTTCGGGGACGCTCCGTGGAGAACATGAGGTAAGTATGGCCTGGGGATGTGCTTCTGATGTGGAGATGGCTGGGGCTTGGCTGTGATGGAGGAGCTCATGTGGTCTTGTGGACACATGCTCTCTCCGGCTCTGGGCATAGCCACAGCCGTGTTACGTCCGGTGGTTGAGCCCTGGGGCCACAGCGAGGGCTGTGGTCATGTTCATGTGGCAATGAAGGGTGCATCTGCATCTTGTGGTGTGGTCAAGAGGTGCTGGCCATGCCCAGGGAGGGTTACGCCACGATGGAGGCGGCCAGCTGGGTTGGGACTAGTGGTCCCTGGAGGATGAAGTAGCATAAAAGGGATTATTCTTGGCCATCGCAACGTTGGGGTCATCAGTTGGGTGGGTGATAGGGGGGGTTTGGCAAAGGTTGGAGGTACAATCATTAGCAGGATGCAAATGCACACCCGTTGCTGTCTCCCTGGCAGCGCAGCCAGGTCTTGCTCAGGGGGAGCCCCAGGGATCGCACTTTGGCAGAGGGATTTTGGGATGTCTCGGTACCATCAGCTGTTGGGCACGGCTCAGTCATGTCCCTGCGAGTCGTGCGCTGGTGCTGTCAGCTGTGCTCAAGGGTGGTGGCAGCCGAGATAACATCGCTGTGCAACACGAGAGGAAGGTCTGGTTGCTTTCAAGTGTGTTGCAATCTTGTTACTGGATTCCTGGGCATGATAGCATACCAGAAGGGATATAATTATGTCAGAGTGAAAAATGTCTGAGCTTCTGGTATTTGCTGAGCTCGAGCCATCACGTATTTGTGCTGATGGATTTCAGGCCCTCGGCAGGATGGTCAGAGGTTTGATATTATCAGTCCATTCTGTAGCCTCTCTCCCTCGTCCTTTCTGTGCAGAAATGCTCAGCATACACGCACGCATCCGGAGGTGCTCCGAGCCCTGGCGCAAACGCTTCCGGCTTAGTGGAAATACCTGGCGTGACACAGCGGTGACTCACGGTGCTTTATCTTGTCTCACCAACACCTTGCAGCCATCCTCTGCCGGGGCAGCACGCCCAGCTCCATTTCCTCCTCAGCCTCCAAATCCCAAAGCCTCCGGCTTGGAGCATGTTCCTGTCATTAATCCTGGCTTTGGGGCATTGCCACAAGTGTTTTGCTTCTCTGCAGACACAGGGATCTCTGAGCCTGCGTCTCCCAAGGGATGGGTGGTCTTCTGATACAATGGACCCTCTAAGCATCATGCCGCCTCCTCCCTCTGTGCTGGCCTCTACCCTCTCCTCCCAAACTTAGTCTCATCCCTACCTGGTGCTGAGCTCTTGCTGACAGCCCTGTCCCCTGCCCTGTCCCCTGCGGGCTCCCTGGGACCAATTGCTGCCAGATGCGTGGACCCTGGCACGGGTGCTCTTCATGTTGTGGGTTGGAGAGTGCCCCATTTCAACACCGAAAGCGTACCAGCTTTTTATCTCCATTGTGAGTGCTGCAATCCCCGTTGCTCCATCCTTCCTCCATTCCTCTTGTTATTCTCATACAGAGCGTCACCCTTCATCATCACTGCCATCCTGATGCTACCCTTCCTGTCCAACCCTCCCTGGATGGTGACACCACTCTTCCTTGTTCCCCCTTCCATCTGCACAGATGAAACCTCCATCTCTTCCCGACACTGCAGGTCCAGTGGAGCTATTCTTTGTGACTTCCTCTAATGAATGAAGCTGAGTTGGTTTTCCCTTCCCTGCTCTCTTCCCCCTCCACCTGCAGCACAAAGCTTGGTGCCTGCAGCGCTGCCCTTTGGCTGCTCTGCAGGGACAGTCCCTGGAGACATCCGCATCCCTGCAGACCCGTCTGTCTCAAGACTGTTCCTCTGCATGTCCGTCTTCAGTGCCCATCCATCTACAGCTCAGCACCTCTCGGCTGCGATCCAGCTCCTCTGGCTTTAGGTAT